TACACAAACACACAAACAGACAAACACACTTTATCCTGATGTTTCCCCGCCACCCATCTGTTCAAGTTTTCCAAATACTTTCCTTTAGGTCTACCCCTTCTTCGTTTGCCTTCTATTTTTTCAAGATGTCCAAAGCCCCTTTCTCGAGTCAAGTTTTCCAGAAACCACATTAATTAAGTCGAGAACTCCTCATTCCAAATAAGACAAATTCTCCAGAGGGAAATGAGGTCAGGGGAACAAGTGGCCGACACGACCTCTTGACCTCCGGCGTCTTAGATTAGACAGGGAGAGTCGGGACATACACCGAACAGACCAATCACAGCAAATCACACAGTGGGTGGGGCTAGGCCTACAGGGAACAGACCAATCACAGCAAATCACACAATGGGTGGGGCTAGGCCTACAGGGAACAGTCCAATCACTGCAGATTAAACTGTGGGCGGGGCTTGGCCTACAGGGAACCAACCAATCACTGCAGATTACACTGTGGGAGGGGGCGGAGCCAATGTCCGAGTCTCACTCTGACGTCAGGACTTGTGACGGGCAAAAACTTCTGCCTCTCTCAAGGCACGACGAACAGAAAGTGTAAGGCGTGGTGCTGTATCTAGAGGGAATTCAGACTCCTTAATATAACTGTGTACCCTTTAAATAATTATAAAAACCATACTTATATTTTTTTTTTAATTTGAAAGTTAAGTGGTTAGAAAGTTTCAGGTAACCAAAGTTATTTATTTTATTTTTCTTACGTACAACACGAAAGAAGACCGCGTAGAAACCAGTTCTCGAAAGACATTACCATTTCAATTTAATTAATAGTAGAGGGTTTTACGACGAGAAATTCCAATTTTACATACACATAATGTCATGTTTTCGTGAATAAAGTGAGTTTATTTCTTATTCATCCCCCCCCCTCTCTCCACACCTCGACAACCCGGAAACAACTTCCTCGCTCACTGTATCGACATATTTTGTTCCTTTCTATCTTTTACTTCCGCTTCCTTGTGACGTCACTTCCGATCTCCTCTAGCTCTCTCCTCCCTCATTCATAAAGAGGCCCGGCCTTTTATCACATCCTCCCACCCCCAGGCCCAAACCTCCCCACCCTTTCCCGACCCAGGGAGTCGGGGCCTTCTTTTGAGAACAAATCATCGCAGAGAGGAGCAATCTCTCTCCAAGTGAGGAAGATTGACCGAAATTAAAGATTAAAAACACTGGAGAGAGAGAGACTGGCGGTTGAGAGGGAGATAGAGGGGAAGAGAGGGGGGGAGGAGAATAGGGGAAGAGAAAAGGGGAAGGGAGTGGGGGAGAGAGAGACAAGCGGTTAAGAGGGAGGGGGAGAGGAAG